AAGTGACTGACCAATGTAGTCCCTCTGCCAATATGGAAATGAGTTACCAATTTCTACTCATATATATTCCTTAATCCTCTGCTCAGCACCTCCTCAGCAAGAATGAATAAGGTTGGGGAAAGCGGATCCTCTGCCTTAAACCCCTAGAATTAGCAAGGTAACCATACCTCTATCCATTCAAGCAAATTGAAAAGAATTGTGTAGACAAACAATTCAGAATAATTTGGGTGAACAAGTTTGAAAACCCAAAACAACTTCAAAACTTCAAAAGAAAATCCCATTCCAGCCTATCATAGGCTTTCATCATATCAAGTTTCAAAACCATGTTTTCTCCCTCCACTTTTCTATCCAGTTCACCTACCAACAATTGCCCGAGTGCCACACACTCACCAATACCTCTCCCTTTAACAAAACCATGATGTTCCTCAGAGACCAATTTAGGAAGAAGAGTAGAGAGTCTAGTATTAATCAGCTTGGTAAAAATCTTATATAAGAAATTGCACAAGCTGATGGGTCTAAATCAGAAAAGGAAATAGGATTATCTTTCTTAGGGATCAAGACCAGCAAAGTAGAATTCACTGATTTAGGCATTATTCCTCCTTTCAGAAGAAAATTCACAGCATTCAACACATCCAACTTTATAATTTCCCAAGCAAACTGAAAAAATCTACCAGATAAACCATCTGGACCAGGAGCACTTTCAGCTACCATAGAGAAAACCACATCCTTTAGTTCCTCCAAGAAGACCTCAGCAGTCAGTCTTAGGTTTTCCTCATCACTGACCAAGTTAGGAATCACAGAAAAAACTGTTCATGAAGTGTATGCTCCTCTGACTTATATAATTCAGCAACCTGAGCAATCTCCTGGTCCCCTTGAACCCAAATCCCCTCCCTGTCTTGAATTCTAGAAACCTTGTTTCTCAGAATCTTACTCTTAGCAATGGCATGAAAAAATTTTGTATTTCTCTCCCCTTGTATAGCCCACCTGATATTGGACTTTTGCTTCCGGTAAATTTCCTCTTTTCTCAATAAAAAATCCAGCACACACTTATGTTCCTCAAGTTCCATAGCTTTAGCTGGAGAATAAACTTGATCTAAATTCATCTCAGCCAAACAAATTTTCTGCTCCTAAGCTCTAATATTGTCAAAAAGGTTGCCAAACACCTCTTTATTCCACAATTTCATATGTGCCTTCAAATATTTCAGCTTAATAAACAGATTAGACATGGGATTATTAGAGTAAAACCCATTCCAATTAGCTGAAATTAAGCCTAAGAAACCTTCATGTTCACACCACATCCTGAAATCTGAAATATGAAATTCTCCTCAGAGCTGGCTCATTCATAATTTTCAAAAGCAGAGGGCAATGGTCAGAAGCACCTCTAGCTAAATGAATGACCTCCAAACCTCCAAACCTCATATTCCAATATGCATTGATCAATGCCCTATCTAGTCTCTGCGACATTCTCACACACCCTTGTCGATTATCACACCAGGTAAACTTGTTGCCATTAAAACCCCCAACCATTAGGCCACTTTGATCCAGACAATCCCCAAAATCCTCCATTGCAACTAAAGAAGGGAAAGCACCCCCTCTTCTTTCCTCTGAGCAAAGAATTGTGTTGAAATCACCAACCACAATCCAAGGCATAAGAAAAGGAACATCAACCTCAATCAAGTGTTCCTATAAAGACCTTCTTAGCACAAGGTCACAACTAGCATAGACCACTGAAAACCAGAAAGTTTCATTATTCAAAAAAGTCAATTCTGCAGTCAACACCTGAGCATGCTCAAATAACACTTTCACTTTCACTCTCACTTTATTACCCATAGAAGCCAAATGTTCCTCTCTGCTAAGGAATTAAAACAGAAGAATTTCATTCCAATATTCTTAGCAAATTTATACAATTTGGACACAAGCAATTTAGGTTCTTGAATTGCAACTAAACAAACATCGTGGATTTTAATAAGCTTCTTTAATCTCCTCCTTTTGGCAGCTTTTTTTGCTCCCCTCATATTCCATGAAATCACATTAATCATGAATGCATAGAAAAAGAGGCTCCGCTGGAACTTAATCCATTACACCCATCATCTTCATTAAAGGAACTATCAGAGATATCCGAATCAACATTTACAATCCTCTAAGTTCTAGAACTGGCCTGATCAGAGTAATAACTCTTATCTGGAGGCTCTCTCTCCCTTACCAGACCATTCTGGTCATCTAAAGGAGCCTCAGATCCTTGCCTTACACCAAAATCATGTTCCACTAAGAAAGAGGAACCCAAGGATTCGGCATAAAGAGCTCTACACTCCCCCAACACCTCCACATTCTCATTAACATTAGTAGCAGGATTAACAACAACATTTCCTCCACCAATCCCCTCATCAACAACAAAAGGTAATACAATAGGAGAAGAGAAGGAAAATACCCCCAAATTAGCACCAGCAGAAGGAGGATCAACAAACATTTGATTCCCAAAATTTATAGGAGACTGAATCCCCTCTAAGCTAGTATCAGCACCAGTAGGACCAACAGTGACTTGATCCTCAACACTGTAAGACCCTGTACTAAAATTAAATAAGAATACTAATATCTTAAGAGTTTTCCAAATATGAATAAAATGAGGATAAAAACTTAGAATCATTGTTAAAATATTAATCATGAATTTTGAGTTTTGAACGGATTGACTTTTGGGTCAAACTTAATTTTTTTTTTGGATGTGTTTAAGATTGATAAGGGTAACTAAATAAATATATTAATTTTTTTTTATCAAAATAACATTACCATTGAATTCGGGAGGTCGGAAAACATTGGGAGAGGTAATATGGGATGTATTAGCAGTTAGGAAGTATTTTAGAAGTAAAACTAAATTGGAGTGAAATTGGGTAAAAAGGGGTGATAGACACTACTTAGTATTTTGATCATAACTTTATATTTTGATGTCCAATTGATCTGAAATTTTGACAGGAAATAGTAGACATCTAGGGCTACAAAAGTGTATTTCATGAAAAATTTTCAATTCGACCTCTAACTGGGTCAAAACTGACCTGAAAGTCGCATCAAAAATCTGTGAACAGTACGAAGGAAACCCGATTTTTTCTGAACAGAAAATATCGGGTTTTGCTCGATTTTCTTGCCCTATAAAAACCTAATGTCGTCCCTTTAGCATTCATTTCACCCCTCCAAACCCTAGGAACCATTTTAGAGGAAGAGAGGAAGATAGAAATACCAATCAAGAGAGATTTATACCTTGTAGAAATCAAAACTTCAAATTCTTCAAGAATACATTCTCCTCCCATTTTCTTCCATTCTTGCTACCCTCTCACCCAAATCTTTTGAAACCCTAGGAGGAGAATATTAAGAGGAAAAGAAAGGAGAGCAAGAAGGTCTTGAAGCTTGGGTCTTAGCTTGGAATCTTGATTTAAGGTAGGGGATTTTCTCTCAATCTCTCACATTGAGGCTAGATATATATCTATAGATATATATATGTATATAGATATATGTTTCTTCACTCTCCTTCTCATATATATAATATGAAATACATGATTCTTGTTCTATTTGTAATAAATGTCATGTTTTGAACAATATGAAGGGTGGGTAACCACCAAAGCTCTATTGATTTTTTTTTTATCTTCAAAGCCCTAGTTTTCTAGAAAAGGGGATTTTCTCCTAATTTCTTCTTTGTCTTTGATTTTAAAACTTTAGTGTTGAATATTGTATAACAAAATGATATAGATTATGATCTCTTGCATATTTTCTTGGATTATTCGATTATATGACAAATGTGAAAACAAAATTGGGAATTTTACTATATTTGGGAAATTGTTGTGAATTGTGAATATTCTTGATTTCCTCATTGTATGGTTGTTGTGATGGACTTGGATTATCTTCGAGAGATGCCGTAGAGTGTTAGAGGTTAGTCTATCCCAATGGGGGGTGAGATGGTTGCCTAATGTTCGTAGTGGATCGTTGTTGTGCTCGCGATCACTATTGTTCACATATACACCGAGGAAAAGGGTTAGTATACTAGACACCTTGGGAGGATTTCGTCAATGCCGTAGGAGACGGTACACGCCCTTCCTAAAGAAATTTGTGATTGTTGGTTGGAATTGGTGGACTAGGCATGATCGTTAGGTAGATTCACGAGAAGCAATCAACATACATGGTACGGGGATGAACCAAAAATACATGGAATTGGGAGTTGGGTCGTTCTTGCCGATGCATTGGTATGGGACAATGCTTAGGGAGAAGCCCTTCTTAAATAGCTTAAATTAGAATTTTGTTTATCGATGTTAAACTCACTTTATTCTTTTAACTAATTATTGCTCTTGTTTAAACTTGAGATCTCTTTAAAATGTCACTGTTTTCATTCCAAACCTATATATATGTTAGTTGTGAAATGAGACCGACCGTTTGCTATGTTTTTCAAACCTTGTTTGAGTTGAGAGGATTTTGCTACAGAGCTTCGTGCTCACCCCCTACAAATAAAATTTTTTCAGATTTCACACTTGAGGAGGAGTTAGGAGCCGAGGAGCCCACCCATTGGAAGACTCCGCTTGACGGGGATGTGGATCCCGAGGTGGACGCTTAGAGCGACACTTTTATTTTGTTCTAGACTAGATTATGCTTAGAATATCCTTTTGAACTCTAGTTCATTTCTGTTATTTCCGCTGCGTTATATTATTACATTTTGGAGATGTAAAGGCCAAGATTAGACCTATTAATTTGGGATGATAGTGTGGATATGACATATGATGAAAGCAAGTTTATTTTATGATGGAAAAATGGACCCGGTGTGGTCAATAGTTATGCATATGTGGACCCGGTGTGGTCAATTGTAATATAATTGTACAGGTTGTGTTTTGGGTAGAGCTCCCCGTACAAAAGAGACTCTGCCCAAATTTTGTTAAAATATGAATGGTTGATGAATGAAACTTTCGTCGTAATGAATTTTACTTAATGCTCTCATACGGTAAATGGTTTTTAGAATGTAATGTCACCCACGGGGGTTTTTGGGGCGTTACAAACACCAACTAACCTCTCCAAACTAGCACCATCTTCAGGAGGAATAGCATGTACCACAGAGTCAGGAATAACAGAAACTCCTTCCTCAATATTTTCTCTTTGATTAGCAGTTATCTCTCCTGGCATAACACCTACACTTATATTCTCATTCCCTTGTTGTGCCTCTTGATCACATTCCCCATTTACATTAGAAGGTTCTCCCAATTCTATATTCATAACCAGGATTTTATCCTGCTGATCCTCCAAAACTTCAAATCTATTGCCCACTACAACTTCTTGAAAAACAGTCCTCTATTTAATAGGACTTTTACCTTTATTTCGGCGAACCTCAATCATTTCATCTCTCCCAGTATCTATTTTTAGCATCAGAAATCACCTTATCAAGCCTCTTTCCTTCCGTCTGAGATAAGATAACATCACTCCTTCCTGCTTTTTCTTTCGGCATACAACAGAATCATGTCCCTGTTTCAGACAATTAGAACAATACAAAACATTTTTCTCAAACACAATCTTCTGCCATCGACCACTCTGGCCCCCTATATCTAGCCGCAGTCTCCTAGGGTTATTAGCCAACAGATTGACCTCTACACAAGCTCTAGCTATCCCAGGTCGAGCTAAATTCAATGTAGATTTATCAATAACCAAAATACGACCAACAAGGCTTAAGATATCCCTCAAACTATTCACATTAAACAAATGAATGGGGAGACCTGGCAAGGAAACCCACACTGGAACAACTAGTGGCTCAATACCCGGAAGAAACTCTGGGAACCATTTAAAGAACCTAAATAGAAAACCTTCTATATAGGTAGTGTTTTTGAGCCACGTATGAACATAATCTTCATACAATTCAAAACAAATTAAGATGTGTCTAGGATCAGGGACTCCAACATGAAAATCACCTTTTGGCTTCCATCTAGTAATGATAAACTCACGAATTACGCCCAGAGAAGGCTTACCATATACGCATTTCCCAATCAGAGCTTGCTGGAATCTTAACGACAACTCCTGCGTCTCTTCAGATGTCCAATAGATTCCAGGTTCTCCGTTATTATACATTACTTTCTTCACAGTCCGCAGAACATTCGATGTACCAAAAAAATCTTTCACAGCATTCATCACATTCATCGCAGATCCAGAAACATTCGGTAATTTAGAACCATCAGATTCAATTACTTTCTCACCACCAGGCAAAGGTATTTGACCAATAAACATAGTCTGATTATTCATAGAAGGAGGATTCGAAGGAATTCGAACCAAAGAAGGAACTTGAGTAATTGACAGGAAACGAGTAATCAAAAAGAATTTCAAGAACCGAAGAGGTTTGAGCAATCGAACGAATAGAAGGAGGCATCACACACAATTCCTCACCACCAGCAAGATTCACAAAAGATCCCAATCCAGTAACAGAACTGAAACCAGAGTTCATAGAAGTAGAAATTGGCTTGAATAAGGAAGCAAAATTACGTGTAATATCTAGAGGTTTGGGTGGAATTTGTTTATGATTCTGATCTGGATTCATATTAAGACAACAATAATCCAGTAATTTGGCCACAAATCAATGACAAATTAAAGGAAAAGAAGAAGAAACAAAGTCATACATAAGAAGTTTTCTATAGAGAAGTCATACCTTCTCTCTCTAGAATAGAATAAACCCTAAACCCTAAAATTCTAAAATCCTAAACCCTAAACCCTAAAACCCTAAACCCTAAAAGCCAAAAACCCTAAATCCTAAACCCTAAACCCTAAACCCTAAAAGCCAAAAATCCTAAAATCTTAAACCCTAACCCCTAAACCCTAAACCCTAAACCCTAAACCCTAACCCCTAAAACCTAAACCCTAAACCCTAAAATCCTAAACCCTAAATCCTAAACCCCTAAACCCCCATGGTACCAAATATGGGGGAAGGAATCAATGAATGCAAACGAAAGAATTGGTATTCTTAAGAAAGCTCATCATACCTGCGATATCCCACCTCACTTGGGATATTTGTCAAGAGATGGGAAATCATCCAGCGATTGCATTTATAAAGTAGGTTCAGTAGAGCCCTGCTTGACAGCTTACTACTTCCACCTGGATTTTTAATTGCTTTTTTGTATTATATCAAAAATTGCATTATCATTTACTATTTTTTTAATTTATAGTTACAAATTATCCAATTTAAAATTAATGGCTAAGATGGATGAAGGTACAATTCATAAAACTCTCATTCACACTTGCTGCATCAGAAAGGTGTTGCTCCAACACCCAGAAATATGGCAATCAATCTCTCATATCTGAAGCCTTGAAAGAATGTAAAATCTCCAGAAATATAGCAATCTATCATATCTCTATCATGAAATTCACTACATCTATATTCTGATCCTCAAAGGCTGTCTAGTAATCAAAACAGGACACAAAAACAAGTATCAATATCCATCCCAAGTATAGCCAATTGTGGAATTGCTATGTCAGGATGCTTCCATAGTTCCATAGAAAATATAAGAACCACCAGCCACTGATGGGGAGCAGTTACCAGAAGAAAATCTGGCATTCCAACTGTATTCAAATACTAATTCTATTAAAACATCTTATCGAACTTATTTTCTAGATTTGTACTACCACAAACAAACTACACTTCATTGACCAATGATTCTCTTGGTTCTAAGCCACCTCCCTTCATCTCATAAAGTACCTTAACAGCCTCAATGCAACATCCATGTTGTATGTAAGTGTTAAGCATTGCATTCCAACATGCAGCATTTTTCTTTACACCATTCATCTCAAACATCCTTCTAGCATCTCTCACAAGCCCAAATTTCCCATACATGTCAACCAATCCGCACTGCACAACTTTTCAAATTAACCCCTAATTTTATCGCATTGGCATGGACTTGATGACCACAGTATCCATCATCCCTCAACTTTCCACAGGCCTTGAGAACACTAGAAAACGTAAAGCTATTCTTCTTCACTCCTTCCCTCCCCATTCCTTACAATAATTGGCAATATGAGCTGTCCAAACAACAATGTTTCATCCAGAAGTTTGATCAAAAACAAAGTCAGCACCTTCTAAGCATCCCAAGTTCCCGTAAAAGCTAACCAAGGAGCTGTTCAAAAACAATCATTGGAATAGCCTGCCTTCATTATCCAACCATGTATTTGTCTCCCAAACTCCAAGTTCATTGTACTAACGTATGCCTGTAAAATGCATACCACCATCCATGAAACCAGAAATTTGAGAATTTCTTCATTACAATGGTATTGGTATTTGTGTTGCATTTTTATGAACAAACATATAGTTTCTTCAAACTTTTCCTCATCCACATAAGCGAAAATCATTGCAGCCCAAGAGTTCAAATCCTTAATGGGCATTCTATCAAACAATTGGTGGGCATTTTCTATAAAACCACAAGACAAATACATAATCAAGAGGTGGTTAAGCAATGGCAAATGGTGGCGAATACCACTTTGGTTGAGATGGGAATCTAGTTCCATGGCTCTATTAAGGTCTCCGGTTGCAATGCATTCTTTGATGAGGGAAATGTAGATGTCTTTGGATATGGGAAGGTTCAAGTTGTTCATCAAATGCAAAATGACTGAGGTGGTGGTGCTTTTCTTGGGGGGTGATTTGATGGGTTGGGGTTGTTTGTACTAGGGTTCGAGTAGAGGCAACTGAATTGAAATTGAAAGCTTAGAGAGAGAGGGACGATGGGTGCTTTGTTGTCCAAATTTGATATTGACAATTTACGTGCAAGTATACATGACCAACAAGTAATAAAATAATAAGTAAAGTACCGTTTCCCCGGAGAATTATTGCTAATAATATCCAAGTATTAACTTTGTATCAATTCAATTTATTTAAACAATTGGAATTAAACTATGGAATTACTAATTTAAAATTAAATCTAAACTTAATAATTAAGGGTTAAATTTACCGGATAAAAGAAGTTAAGATTAAAACTTCTCCTAATGCTTTGTATAAACATCTCTTTCTAGTTAATTGATCAAAACAAGTTGTTAACAGATAACTCAAAGTTATTTTTCAAACCTCTTCCGACAGTTAGATAAAAATATCTATCACAACTAAATTACTATATTCTTATGTAAAATAATTTAGAATAGATTCATTAAGTTTAGAGTCTCATAATAGTTACACACGACATATAGGTATATTTATATCTTATACACAAATTCAACAATTCAATCCTAAGAAAAATTAACCAGATGCATGTCATCATATTCAGATCCAAACTTAGAATTCATCTTTCAATTTTATCTAAGTTATCAAATTAATTGTTAGTCACACAATCATATATTAAGCACAAAATATGACAAACAACTCATGTATGATCAATAAAACTAAAAACGAGAGTAAATCAATTTAACTAAACATCAGGTTTCATTGCAATCTTAATAAGAATTTAATTCATAATGTAATTGAAAAATATCATTATCAAATTAAACAATATCTCAGAAAATTAAGAAGTAAAATTAAGAGAAAAGAATAAAAACTTAGTTGCAATCTTTAATCCTTCTCTAGCCTTCAAGTTCAATCTTCTTCGTGTCACTTCCTTTGATCATTGTCTTCAATTTTCTTTTAATCCTTGGTCTTTTCTTATGTTAGCAGCCCCCAAAATCAGTATATATCAGTCCCAACTCAAACTCTAGCATATATGCATCATTGGGATTCAATTTCAAGTCAAAATTCACGTCCAGCGCCAACACAAGTGCCTAGGCGCTGAATGGACAATATGTGGGTACAGGAGCACTGAAAAGGCGTTGGGTCTGTGCTTGCCTTTTTTTAAACCTTCAACTCCCTAATTGCTTAGCCTTCAAAAATTCAACACTTAGGCTCCAAATTGACCTTGTTTTCTTCTAAAATGATCTTGTTTGCTTTCAAATGATGATTCCCACCAATTAATAATATCAAAACACACAAAACAAATAAAAAAGAATATAAAATAATTGAAAACTTACACTTTCATCAAGCCGAAAATACTCAATTCGTAGGTATAAAATTCACTCATTAAATACCTCCAAACTTAAATCTTTGCTTGTCCTCAAGCAAAATACTAAGAACAAAAATCACAAAAATTAACCCTAACAACTAGCTACTCAAACAATGGATTAAATATGAATCTAAATAATAGCCCCCAAAAAGTTACTACAAATAATAATTCACGAAAAATTTCAAAATAGTGCAAAGTCTATCAACTCAACATAGTTTTACCTCCGCTCATGACCCTTTAAATACATGTATATATCTGAACTATCCTGCTAGTCATCACCCAAATATATTTACATAATCAAATACTTCATAAGAGATACTCAATATCAACTCTATGAACTTACGTTTCACATCAACCTCCGCTTATTAAGGCAACCATATAACTAGAAGGTCAAAAGATTTTTTTTTCTCACTTTTTTTTCTCTTTTCCATTCATTTGATGAGTGCATTTTATGCTCCCTCTCACCTCCTATTGTGCGAGTGCGTTTTACGCTCTATCTCGCCTTTTCTTAAACGAATGCATTTTATGCTCCATCTCATTTTTAACGTGTGTTTATGAGTGAGTGCGTTTTACGCTTCATCTCTACTCACCACATGCCCCCTTTCTTATTTCTTGTTTTCCTATTTTTTTTTTCATCTAACTCATGAAGGATCAAATCAAAATAATTTTCAAAAACTCACTTGTTTTTTTTTTCTATACTAAACCATCATAACCAAGATTTCCCCCAAACTTATATGAATACCTCAATTTGCTTTGAATAATGCTTAAATAAGTTTTTAAAAGTTTCAATGATATATCCCACAAGCATTTAACCAAATAAATTCTCTAAATAATAACTAATCAAACAGATGGATATGTGCTCATGAATGAAAAGATCACAAACAGTGTAAAATTAACTAGTATGTCAAACTACAGACTCAACATGTTCATCAATTTTCCTTAAATTGACAATTAATTCCATTCATCATTGGTCATGATCAAATTCAATCAACTCATTGCTCAGTTCGTACTAAAACATGTAATCTACATGCAAACATGTTATCTAAATGCATACCCGCTAATGCAAATGCAAACAATAAAACACCTCCAAACTTAAACTAAACATTGTCCTCAATATATAAAGTAGGAAAAATTAAGACAGAGGACTCTCCTGAGACTTCACTAGTTCTCTAGTTCGCATCATCGTCAGCGTTCACGTCGTCCGCTGAGTCAGGAGTGTATTCGGGAAACATAGATGGGTTGTTCTTTGCTCCCATTAAGGCTTTGTGTGTGTTTCAACTTTATGTTCAATCATTGGGACCTGTAAGCAATTGACATACCAATTAAAATACACTAACCAACTAACTACATTATTTTTTATAAAAAATTAAATTAAAATAAAATAAAATAAAACTTAGAAACTAAAATTTGGGTTGCCTCCCAATTAGCGCTTGTTTTATTGTCTTCAGCCTGACTACTTCTTGTTTCATCTCAGGTCGACATGGGTAATTGAGGTCTTTTTATGATCAATGTCGTCGCCCCAATATTTCTGCAGTCTTTGCCCATTCATCTTGAAAGTTCTCTTCAAGTTAGCTTCCTCAACTTCGCCTGCTCCATGTGGGAACACCTCCTCTTTATATAGCTTAACGTTCTCAAGTGGATCTGAAGTACAACTTCCTATGAATACCCCATTCATTGTCTTTTCAACCAAATCCACCCAAAAATATTCTTCCACTTCCTTTGAAAATTTCATAGCTGAAAATACATTGAATGTAACCTCTTGATCTTGAACTCGCATAGTTAGTTCACCTTTTTGTATATCGATAAGTGTTATTCCCGTTGCTAAGAATGGTTGCCCAAGAATAATAGGTATTTTCTTGTCTGCCTCACAATCTAAGACTATGAAATCAGCTGAAAAAATAAACTTATCCACTTTAACTAGAACGTCCTCAATTATACCCCTTGGATAAGTGAGTGATCTATCTGCAAGCTGCAATGTAACATTAGTCGACTTCACTTCCTTCAAACTCAATTGCTGATAAATTGAGAGCGACATTAAGTTAATACTAGCTCCCAAATCACATAATGCTTTCTTGAAAAAATGGCTGCCTATTGTGCATGAAATTGTAAAGCTACCCGGATCTTTAAACTTTGGTAGTAGCTTCTTTTGAAGAATAGCACTGCACTCCTCCGTAAGTGGAACTGTCTCAAAATCGCCTAGTTTTCTCTTCTTTGACAAAATTTCTTTCAAAAATTTCACATAGTTAGGCATTTGCTCCACTACTTCTAGGGGTGTTCAAATTTTCGACCGGCCGCAAGTTCCTACCCTACCCTACCTTACTGAACGGCTAGCCGCAAAAATCGGGTAGGAATGCGAAAGAGTTTTTGATCTTCCGATAATTTTTAGGTAGGAATACGAAATAGTCATCTATTTTCGCATTCCTATCCTACCCTACCCGTAATAATTTTTTATATATATATATATATATATATATAAACTAAAAAAATCCTAAACCCTAACCACAGGCGGAGCAATTATGATTTTAATATATTTCATGTGGTTTGAAGTTTAAACTTAGATTAATTGTTATTGTATTTGTGTAACAATTATGGTAGATTGATGTTCATATTTTCTTTTGTTTTATTATAATTCTTGTTGTAGTTGTTTTAGATTTTAGTGTTAATTGATTTATAGTGTTGTTAAATTGGTGCATGTTATTTAATTAAATTGTTAAAATGATTCAAAAATTAATTGTTACAAAAATATTTACCCGATTTTCTATTCGACTGCCTACCCGATTAATCGGGTAGGAAGTCTGGTAGGAATACTACACTTGTCGAGTAGGGTAAGTCAAGAAAAAATTCTTCCGCAAAGTATCGAGTAAGAAGACGAAATAGTATATTTCCTACCCGTAGGGTAGGGTGAACACCCTTAACTGCTTCTGCGAAAGGGATATTTATTTGGAGCTTCTTAAACACTTCCATGAATTTAGAGAACTATTTATCCCACTTCTGTTTCTGCAAACGTTGTGGAAACGGCACGGGAGGCACAATAGGACTCTGCTTACCTCCATTAGAACATGCAACTGGATCTTCTTCTTTCTTTTCATGTTCCACATTTTTTCTATCTTTTATTTCACCCTCACTATCATCTCCATGTGATTATTTTGGAGTTCCACCAACAACCTCAGGTAACTCTTTTTTGCTTCGTAATGTAATAGCATTGCAGTGCTCCTTACCTTCCTTTTTGTTGGATTGATCTCTGTATCACTAGGTAGAGTGACTTGAGGTCGATTGTTAAGGGCATTAGCGAGCATACCCATTTGGTTTTCTAGGTTTTGGATTTATATTTCCATACTGTTCATCGTTGTCTTATTTTGTGATATGTACCTGGAAAGTAGCTCCTCCAAATTTGACTTATTTCGCTACTGTGGTGGAATTTGATTCTAAAAGCCTGGTGGGTATGATTGCGTTGGAGTAGAAGTTTGGGCTTGATTATTATTCCAAGACAAGTTCGGATGAGTCCTCCAACCAGGGTTATAATTATTGAAATTGTTGCTATATTGCTACCTATTGTGGTTACCAATATATTGTACCAACTTTGGATTAATTACACATTGATTGCTCAAATGGTTCTCGACAAACAATTTACACACAACTGCCACACTCTTAACAGGCTACACTCCTAAAGCATCAATCTTCTTTGTTAATGTAGCAACCTGCACAATCAATGTAGTCACTGCATTGACTTCATAAATCCCTGTTACCTTTGGTTGGTTGATCCTTGCAGAGGGCCACTGATAATTGTTGGCGGCCATCGTTTCCAATAACTCATTAGCTTCATCGAAATTTTTTTTCATCAATGCCCCACCTGCAGCTGCATCGATACTGGTTCGGGTAGCACTAAACAACCCATCGTAGAACGTCTGAATTTGCAACCACCTAGGAATACCATGGTGAGGACATTTTCAGAATAAGTCCTTAAATCGCTCTCAAGCTTCATATAAAGTCTCAGAATCATGTTGTGTGAACGATGTGATATCATTCCTCATTCTTGCAGTTTTGGCTGGTGGAAAGAATTTAGCTAAGAATTTTTGAGCTAAATCTGTCCACGTTGTAATAAAACTTGGAGGCAATGAATGCAACCAACTCTTTGTCTTATCACGAAGTGTGAAAGGGAAAAGTTGAAGTCTAATCGCATCTTCAGAAACCCCATTGTATTTGAACGTGTCGCAAATCTCCAGAAAACTCACCAAATGATCGTTTGGGTCATCGTTAGGCAAACCCCCAAACTGCACTGAATTCTGAATCATTTGGATGGTACCCAACTTGATTTCAAAATTATTTGCTTGAATTGCCGGCTTTTGAATACTCGATTATATTTCTGTAACAAGCGGCATATCATAATCCCGCAACGATTTATGTTCATCTTCAGTTATAGCTTCTTGATTGTTTACTTCTTGACACTGTTTTCGCAAGTTGCGAAGCCTTCTTTCGATTTCGTCTTCATACGGTAGTAACTTCTAACCTGTAGATCGTGTTTGCATACAAAATTCAACAGTACTTGCAAAAACAATTAAAACAAAAAATTAAATAAGTTTAAACTAAGATTAAATTGATTGAAATTAATATTGAAATATTTACTACAATAATTCCTCGGCAACGGCTCAAAAAACTTGTTGTCCGAATTTGATATTGATAATTTACGTGCAAGTATACACGATCAACAACTAATAAAGTGATAAGTAGAGTATCGTTCCCACGGAGAATTATTGCTAATAATATTCAAGTACTAATTTTGTATCAATTCAATTTTATTAAAATAATTAGAATTAGACTATGAAATTACTAATTTAAAATTAAATCTAAACTTAATAATTAAGTGTTAAATTTACCGGATAAAAGAAGTTAAGATTACAACTTCCCTAATACTTCGTATAAACCTTTCTAACTCTCTTTCTAGTTAATTGATCAAAACAAGTTGTTAACTGAAAATTCAAAGTTATTTATCAAACATCTTCCGATAGTTAGATAAAAATATATATCCCAACTAAATTACTATATTCCTATGTAAAATAATTTAGAATATATTCATTAAGTTCAGAGTCTCATAATAGTTACACACGGCATATAAGTATATCCTTATCTTATATACAAACCCAGTAATTCAATCCTACGAAAAATTAACTAGACGCATATCATCATATTCAGATCCAAACCTAGAATTCATCTTTCAATTTCATCTAGGTTATCAATTGGCCACACAATTATATATTAAGCACAAAATATGACAAACAACTCATGTATGATCAATAAAACTAGAAACGGGAGTAGATCAATTTAACTAAACATCAGGTTTCGTTGCAATCTTAATAAGAATTTAGTTTATAATGTAATTAAAAAATATCATTCTCAAATTAAACAATATCTCAGAAAATCAAAAAGTAAAACTAAGAGAAAAGAATAAAAACTTAGTTGTAATCTTCAATCCTTTTCTACCCTTCAAGTTCAATCTTCTTCGTGTCACTTCCTTCGATCCTTGTCTTCAATTTTTTATTAATCCTTGGTCTTTTCTCATGTTAGCAACCCCCAAAATCAATATATATCAGTCTCAACTCAAATCCTAGCATATATGCATCATTAGGGTTCAATTTCGGGTCAAAATTCGCGTCCAGAGCCAACACAAGCGCTTAGACACTGGAAAGGCGCTGAATGGACAGTATGTGGGCGCAAGGATGCTAAAAAGGTGTTGGGTCTGCACTAGCCTTTTTTTAAGCCTTCAGTTCTCTTGTTGCTTAGCCTTCAAAAAGTCAACACTTAGGCTCCAAATTGATCTTGTTTACTTCTAAATGATCTTGTTTACTTCTAAATGATGATTCTTACCAAATAACATCAAAACACACAAAACAAATAAAAAGGAACATAAAATAATTAAAAACTTACAGTTTCATCAAGCCGAAAATTCTCAATTCGTAGGTATAAAATTCACTCATCATGCTTACCCTCGGAGTAATGTTTGCGTTGCCAGTCATGTATGGATGGGGTTTTTTATAGTTGTTGAAGGTAGTGTTAACATGAAACAGAACTGTTTTCGGGTGTGGTGCTATGAATTCTATTGGCTGAGCTGACCATTTTGTGTCTGAACTTTGAAGCACAAGACAGTTAATCAATGATAGGTTTCATGGCTTCCCCAAATCCAGACACGACCTTATTTGTCCACTTCTACCCTTTTTCTTCCCCCCTACCTTGAGGAAAAGGAAGTGATAAACAGACTAATTGCTATAAAGTGTTAAGTAGATTCATTCTGTTCCATTGTATTAAATCTTGAACCTCTGTAAATTTAGAATGCTTCAACTTGAACCCGAATCAAAATCGACGCTCATCGATCCAAAATTGGTTCTTGAGAAACTTGCTAGTTGACGAGTGTCCGGTTCCAACTCGAAAGGTGAATGTCCGGCTGCTATTTAGTGTCCGTCGTTAGCAAAATCATGTGAGCTAATTTCATTTCGAAAAAGATCCCGTGTTTTCGATGTCAAAACAAATTATTAATTAAATATCAAAATTTTTATATTCAAAATATTCTGGTGTATTTTGAGATTTTTGGTGTATTTCAACTTATGTTTCGAAATATTTTTCTTATTTCGATCAATATTTTAGAAATAAATTTTCAATTTTTTTTATTTACATCTTATTTTTGAAATATTACCAAAATATTTGTATTTTCAAACTCACCAAAATATTGTAACAAAACGAAATTTTGATCTTGACTATTACATGGTTGGCCCCGGTGATCTTCCATGAGGTCTAAATGAGCCTTGGTGATCCACAAGCTGGCTAGTGCCTTCCACATAAGTGTTCAGACTAGTTTAACTAAATTAAACTTTCTAATGTTGACAAATTTTAACTTTGTATTCGAATGTTGTATTCACAAATGTGTGATTTAAAAAATAAAACACTATATATAATGCACGGACAATTAAATTCCAAAGAGAAAATATATATCACATTTGAGAATATGATATACGGATACAAAATTAAAATTAGTCAAAGTTAAAAAAACACAACTTAGTTAAACTAGTGTCTCAACTTCATTTTTTTTCGGTAACTAAAGACTGTGGGATTGGAGAATAACTAGTGTCTCAACTTGATATGGTTAAGTAATATGAAATTTATTCTCTATGCACTGAATATAGCAGTTCATTCTCTGCAACACATCAATGATCTTTTGTATTTGTTTTTATTTTTATGGTCCATTTGATAGGGTAAATGGAAAAATAGAAAGTTAAAAAGTGAGAATGATCCATTTTAAGGAGGAATCATTCCTTTCCTCTTATGTCTTTGGTAAGAGTGATGGAAAGTATGAATGATTGATTTTTTTGTGTTTGATAAGACAGAAAAAGTTTTTTTTTTATTTTTTTAGAAAAAATATAAATATATATTTTACCATTGTATCTATATATGAAATTAACGTATATATAATATGTAATTGATAAATATGATATATGTATCTATCAAATGATATATAGACAAATAAAATACATTTCAAAATACATAATTAACTTTTCATTCACTTTCCTCTCAATTTTAGAGAGATTATTTTTAGTGAGTTGAAAAAAAAGCTCATATATTGGCTTTTTCATTCTTTTTATTTTATTTTTCCTTACTAAACATAATGTTTTATATATCCCTGTAACTTTTCATTTTTCTTTATTTCCATCGTACCAAACAAAACATTTCTTTTAATCAACTTTAACTTCAAAAGTTGCTTGGTATCTTATGAGAGATTTTATTTAAATTTGACAATAAAATTATTTACTGTCTCTCAGCAAACAAAGTAGAAATACATATATCTAATCTATCTCATATCCCACAGTGGCTAAAAATACCTAATGCACTGTCCTTTTGTCTTATATATCTATTAGATTAACCCATTACACTTTGGATATTGTGTGTCCGAATTGCAAAACAACCCAACTATTAGATAAAATTGAGGAGATGTTATTAGATTAGCTTCTTATTGTTTCTGATGAAGGAAGCATACAAAACACACATTGTAACTCATACATAGCATACATAATACCTAAAGACAAGTTCTACTGAATCATCCTTTGTTTTCTCTTATTTCCTTTCAACTGGTTTTGGTGATACAAGGTTACATTGTTTGAAAGCAGTCACTTCTTCCATGAACCAAACTGATCCTCCGTTTGTTGGTTAAGAAGGATCACAACACAGTGAAACAGAATGGTCAAAAATATATTACGGGGCTCATCCTGCAAATGAATTATGAAGTGATACCTCTATTTGCTCCCATCATCTTCAATCAGCAGACTGGATTCTTCGAGTTCTGTTATGGAATTTGACCATAAAATGAAAGAAGCTCCTAATCGAGCTTGTCTTCAATCCTGAAGTTCCCTTGCTTCCCCACACCAAAGAGCATAGAAAGAGAAAACCACCATGGCTAGCTCATACTGTTATTCAAGCCGTCTGTAGCATCCTCACTTGCTGGATATGTCTTCGCATTCAATTCCTTCATTGAATTGCATGTACATGCATAAGAACACGATTCCTCATGTTTCAATCCATCCAGTGTTGGAGTATGGAGTGGTGACGAGTAATGAATTGATTGCAAGAAGTTGAAGTAAGCATACTTAATATCAAAAGGCATGTCATACCCTGCAGACAATTTTGCAGTTAATTAATTTAATCCTTGAACATCAAGAAAGTAAAAAAGGATGTTAGTTGTTATCAGGAATCATTACAATAATTTAGAGCAATAGTGAGCCCACTGCCGTCTGGAGTCTGTCTGACATGATGAAACCACATACTTGGCCTGCATATATTCCAGCATAGAGCATCATCAGTGCAGTTATATCGTATTGTTGCATAGATGAGAAATCGTACACAATTCATGGTTATTTAATATCACGTTTATTTCTCTCTCAAGTAAAATTGTCTAAATATTCCAAATTTCGAAGATGACATTTAGATGGAAAGTGCAATTTTTACTCAAGTGTCTAATTTTGGACGGGAAGAAATGCTAGAATCTGCTTTTTGGCAGCTTTTGGGGCCTCATTTACTACGTAGTAAAGATTTTGAGGGACTTCGGCTCATATAAATATTGGCGGGGAGGAAAGTTTCAACTTTCATGTGTCTCATAGTTATCATTTATTACTTTTTGCTGTTTTTTCTTTAGGTTAGATATCTTGTCCACCCTACATTATTCTCTGATGAAACCTTTTTAAATCAATAGGGTCCTTTTGTCTCGCATAAAAAAAAAAAGTCTTAACACATTATCCATTGTGACTGACAATACAGTAAACAAGTTACACACAGGATATCCATCCATAAACATAATTGACCATGAGCTTATGGTTATAACTCAAAACAACCAATACCATTGGTAATTTGGTATACGCCAAGAGTTACGAATGTGTACGCATATTTGTTTCCTAAACCACATGTAGACTTGCATCAAACAGACATATACTTAATGATCATTCTCCACACAATGAAATAACTGATTGGATGGTATGCATAAAGAACTTAAAATTCATGTGTTTATCACAACTAATTCAAAATAAATCAATCAATCACTTCAATAGTTGTGTAGAGAGTGCAAAATTTAAACACCTCAATTCCTACTACACTAACAAGTCACAGATTTGGACCAAGTGGAGTACCACCAAATATTTGGGGATTCGCTTCCTCTTAGTATTCTCTACCTCTTCAGGTCTCATTTGAGAGTTGAAGAGCTGATTTAGGATATATCTAAATAAGAAAATACATTTCCAAAAGCAGAGGTGTTGACAATATCAGCATTTCCATTGGTAGACAAGGGACTCAGACAAACAGATTTGACCATTTGAAAAAAATTGGGAGCTACTTGTTCTTGGAAACCTTAAAGAAAAACTATATGCTCCTTATGTATCCACACATATCTATGGGAAATCTATAAAGCAAAACTGCTCCCACCGGCTTGGTACATCCTCTTTAGGGTCCACTCACATTTCATTACATCTGAAACTTGTTCAGTAAGAAGCCCTTCTGTGACAGACCCAAAAACTGCAACAGACATGCCCATCCGATGTAAATAGGGTTCACACTTTTCAATTTCACAGCTCTTTCAACCATGGAGGAAGAGTATGAACCAATCTGCCCATTATTGTTTCACAAATGGTAGCAGGTTGATACAATCTGCCCATCATTGCCTAAATACTTAACATCTTTTCAATGTGTATGGCCTTTGTCCCAGCATTTGGAAAACTAGGAATGAACCACAATCTAAACACTTTCCTTTGGTACTATTTTTTGAATCTCCACGATGATCATTGGCCAATGGTCAACCATTCTTTCTTAGACAGGTCAAAGGATTTCTTAGAGCAAAGCCCCAACAGCCTTAGCCCCAACCATGCTCATCCTGGTCCCATGCTCTGCAACTTTGGCTGAAAAACAATTTGTGACAATCTTTCTGCGCTTCACTTATCAAAGAAAAATATGAATGCTTGTCAATGACCATAGGGGGTATTGGTGGATAGGATAGCATGTTAGCATTCTCAAATGATGCAGGGAGAAGCATAGCTACCAAACCAGCTTGTGAGTAGGTATAGCTGCCGTATCACCAGATGATTATCACCGAAAATGATAGCAAGCAGATGATAGATCCAATTTCTAGTGGAGAGGGAGCTATCTGCAAGGATATTCCTCAATACATTTGAATATTAGAAAGCTTTGGTGTCTAGAACTTGTTTCTCCACACACGGCTTATTCAGAAATGAAGCTGCAAACTTGGTGCCCATTTCCTGTCAGATTAAGTCTCCACCCAGTCTAGGTTTTTAGCCTCACCCTCTAAGAATTTAAAGTTTACTGTGTCCCCTAGACCTCTGAACAAGTTCTCTTCTTGTTGTCTGAAAATTAAGGAAGGAAAGAGCCAAAGGCCCTTTGAAAGAAGGGATTGAATTGGGTCACCAATGGATTTGACCCCTTAACAAAAAGCTCAATACGTTAAACCAACCAGGTTCCAGTCCCTGAAAAGTAATAGTAACCTTCACAAACATTTTAGCATTACTTCTTTCTTTCTTTTCGCCAATGGTAAACTAATTCATATCAGGTGACAAAGAGAAATAAAATGAGAATCAAGAAAGTGCATTAGAGGGCGTAATCAACATTAGCAAATGTTTTGCACACAAAGTCATGTCAATTCTATGGAAATATTTGCACCAGTATATGAGGATGTACAAGAATGAGAAGAAAATTGATGAAGCCAAAGAATAAAAAAGATAACTCATCACCATGGGGAAAATTGAAAGAAACAGTGTCATCAATATGAAATGCTTAGTAGATCATAGAACAAGGGAAAACTGTGGATTGCAGTAAGCAAAAATTACCCAAGCATATTTTTCTCATCTCCCAATCTACACGATTGACATCATCCCAATCCCTGAAACAATTGTTATTCATCTCCCCACCCCCTAGTGTTTGAAGTCTAAATCAGATTCATTTCCTTGCTTCCGGTGTCCTTAGTATCTCTTTCTTTCCTTTATACAACACCTTGCAACTTTCTTAGAGTCCTCTCTCATTAGCCTCACTTAATTGCCTAGCGGCTAGCCACCTTCATTTAGAGGGCTACACTAAAATCTGAATAGAACATCTGATGTTTTTGAGCCAAGTAAATTTCAATTGCACATCCCTCGTAATTTAATCTATGAATTCATCCCAACTTGAAGTTCATAAATTAATGTGATTCCACCATACAAACTCTATTTTATGCGTTTTTAGAATTTCTGTTTAGAAATGTGTACTATAGATTTCCTGAGCTTATACATCATATTGTCACTTCTAGAGAGCCAAAATTAAGCATAACCAGATGGGTGCATTCAAAGTTATATGAGAACCGCGTATACACAGAACTAATTGGATCATCGAGAGTAGAAAGCTCACAGGTAAAGGATCTCCCCGGCATTAACTGTAACCTCGAATGGCTTTGGTCCTTCAAAAAATAAAGGAAACTTGGACACTTCTTTCTCTTTATTCTCTGGTGAAGGGTAAGGATTCACACTGCACCAAGGCACATACCTAACTGGATCGTCAAGCTCCAATGCAAACTCTCCTGTATCCTAAAAACCAACATCAAAAAATTCATGTTTACCCAAAAAAAACAAAAAACAAAACATCATACCCACAAACTTACATAGAAACGTGAATGAAGAGAACAAAACAAGGTAATGGACCTGAGAATAAATGTAATGAGCAGCCGGGTAGTCTCTAATGTACATTCTATGAACATCAGTGGGTGGAAGAAGTAGAAAATGCTTCTCCCCAGTAATCACAGCGTAGATATTCTCGTAATGGTCCTTATGAAACGAAGTCTCCGACAAATGGTTTCCAATCCAAAGATTCACAGCCTCAGGAAGACAGCCAATTGCCTCAGAAGCCCAATGAATGTCTGATTCACAATCAGCAGCCAAAGAAGAGTACTCAGAACGGAAGCAATCGTTCTGTTGCTGCAAGTAAGCCACGAACTTCGAGTGTTGATTTGAATTACGTATAAACATGAGAGCTTCATCGAAAGGTGTAGATTGGACATGGGCGGAAGCGAAGCAAAGGGAGGAGGGGGTGGTGGGGTGGGGGGTGAGGGAGTCGGCACGGCCAATGGGGGTGAGGTGGAGAGAGACGGCGGAGGAGGAAAGTGTGTGGAGGAGGTAGGAGGTGGAGGGCCATAAAGTGGTGGCTGGCCAGTGGTGGATGGCGTTGGAAATGATGCAGGGTTTGTTGGGGGAGATGTAGTCGCGGAGGAATTGGAGTGGGGTTGGTGGCGCGTGGAGGCGGTCTATGGGGGTGACGCCTAGGCTCAGCTCCCTCACTTCTTCCCACAGGGTTTGAATTTTTTCTTCCATGGTATGGTTAAAAAAAAAATAAGGGCAATGGCTAAACACACCTACATAAAAAAAAATTTGGAAAAATTTCATCCAAATCCACTTAGTTAAGTTTAAATTTAATAGCACCCCTTTAATTTTAAAATTTCACTATCACCCCTGTCGGTGCTTGTCAATTGTTGATTTACAAAAATTATAGAATAAATTTTATCCACACCATTTATAAATAAATATAACTTTCATAACACCCTTTATAAATAGACTTAACTTTAACAGCACCCCCTCTTTATTATGAAATTTCAATACATTTCCTTTTAGTTCTATTATAATTGTCTTTATATTCTTCAATTTAATATTTAATTTTATCAAATTAATATCTTTTTTTTTTAATTTGAACTAAATTAACGTTTTATCTCATCAGATCAACACAAAATTGATATTTAATTTTATCAAATTAGCATTGAGTTATATTAATTTAATATTTTATTTCATCAAATTAATATTATTTCTTTAATTTAACATTAAATTATTATTTAATTTTATCATATCAACATCAAATTAACATTTAATTTTATTAAATTAAAATTTAACCTTATCAAATTAATGTCATATATTTAATTTAACACTAAATGAACATTCAAATTTATTCAATTAATATTTTATTTTATCAAATTTAATACTAAATTAATATTTTATTTTATCAAATTAGCACCAAATTAATATTTAAATTTATCAAAGTAAGACCAAATTTATTTAATTGATATTAAATTTAATCAATAATATTTAAATTTTATATATTAAGGATGATGTGTGAAAAGTGGTCGTGTGATTGTAACGCCCCAAAAACCCCCGTGGGTGACATTACATTCTAAAAACCATTTACCGTATAAGAGCATTAAGTAAAATTCATCACGACGAAAGTTTCATTCATCAACCATTCATATTTTAACAAAATTTGGGCAGAGTCTCCTTTGTACGGGGAGCTCTACCCAAAACACAACCTGTACAATTATATTACAATTGACCACACCGGGTCCACATATGCATAACTATTGACCACACCGGGTCCATTTCTCCATCATAAAATAAACTTGCATTCATCATATGTCATATCCACACTATCATCCCAAATTAATAGGTCTAATTTTGGCCTTTACATCTCCAAAATGTAATAATATAACGCAGCGGAAATAACAGAAATGAACTAGAGTTCAAAAGGATATTCTAAGCATAATCTAGTCTAGAACAAAATAAAAGTGTCGCTCTAAGCGTCCACCTCGGGATCCACATCCCCGTCAAGCGGAGTCTTCCAATGGGTGGGCTCCTCGGCTCCTAACTCCTCCTCAAGTGTGAAATCTGAAAAAAATTTATTTGTAGGGGGTGAGCACGAAGCTCTGGAGCAAAATCCTCTCAACTCAAACAAGGTTTGAAAAACATAGCAAATGGTCGGTCTCATTTCACAACTAACATATATATAGGTTTGGAATGAAAACAGTGACATTTTAAAAGAGATCTCAAGTTTAAACAATAGCAATAATCAGTTAAAAGAATAAAGTGAGTTTAGCATCGATAAACAAAATTCTAATTTAAGCTATTTAAGAAGGGCTTCTCCCTAAGCATTGTCCCATACCAATGCATCGGCAAGAACGACCCAACTCCCGATTCCATGTATTTTTGGTTCATCCCCGTACTATGTATGTTGATTGCTTCTCGTGAATCTACCTAACGATCATGCCTAGTCCACCAATTCCAACCAACAATCACAAATCTCTTTAGGAAGGGCGTGTACCGTCTCCTACGGCATTGACGAAATCCTCCCAAGGTGTCTAGTATACTAACCCTTTTCCTCGGTGTATATGTGAACAATAGTGATCGCGAGCACAACAACGATCCACTACGAGCATTAGGCAACCATCTCACCCCCCATTGGGATAGACTAACTTCTAACAGTCTACGGCATCTCTCGAAGGTAATCCAAGTCCATCACAACAACCATACAATGAGGAAATCAAGAATATTCACAATTCACAACAATTTCCCAAATATAGTAAAATCCCCAATTTTGTTTTCACATTTGTCATATAATCGAATAATCCAAGAAAATATGCAAGAGATCGTAATCTATATCATTTTGTTATACAATATTCAACACTAAAGTTTTAAAATCAAAGACAAAGAAGAAATTAGGAGAAAATCCCCTTTTCTTGAAAACTAGGGCTTTGAAGATAAAAAAAAAATCAATAGAGCTTTGGTGGTTACCCACCCTTCATATTGTTCAAAACATGGCATTTATTACAAATAGAACAAGAATCATGTATTTCATATTATATATATGAGAAGGAGAGTGAAGAAACATATATCTATATACATATATATATCTATATACATATATATATCTATATATATATATCTAGCCTCAATGTGAGAGATTGAGAGAAAATCCCCTACCTTAAATCAAGATTCCAAGCTAAGACCCAAGCTTCAAGACCTTCTTGCTCTCCTTTCTTTTCCTCTTAATCTTCTCCTCCTAGGGTTTCAAAAGATTTGGGTGAGAGGGTAGCAAGAATGGAAGAAAATGGGAGGAGAATGTATTCTTGAAGAATTTGAAGTTTTGATTTCTACAAGGTATAAATCCCTCTTGATTGGTATTTCTATCTTCCTCTCTTCCTCTAAAATGGTTCCTAGGGTTTGGAGGGGTGAAATGAATGCTAAAGGGACGACATTAGGTTTTTATAGGGCAAGAAAATCGAGCAAAACCCGATATTTTCTGTTCAGAAAAATCGGGTTTCCTTCGTACTGTTCACAGATTTTTGGTGCGACTTCCAGGTCAGTTTTGACCCATTTAGAGGTCGAATTGGAAATTTTTCATGAAATACACTTTTGTAGCCCTAGATGTCTAATATTTCCTGTCAAAATTTCAGATCAATTGGACATCAAAATATAAAGTTATGATCAAAATACTAAGCAGTGTCCATCACCCCTTTTTACCCAATTTCACTCCAATTTGGTTTTACTTCTAAAATACTTCCTAACTTCTAATACATCTCATATTACCTCTCCCAATGTTTTCCGACCTCCCGAATTCAATGGTAATGTTATTTTGATAAAAAAAATTAATATATTTATTTAGTTACCCTTATCAATCTTAAACACATCCAAAAAAAAAAAAATTAAGTTTGACCCAAAAGTCAATCCGTTCGAAACTCAAACTTCATGATTAATATTTCAACAATGATTCTAAGTTTTTATCCTCATTTTATTCATATTTGGAAAACTCTTAAGATATTAGTATTCTTATTTAATTTTTAGTATAGGGTCTTACAATCCACCCCCCTTAAAGAAAGTTTCGTCCTCGAAACTTACCTCAAGTAGCGAACAAATATGGATATTTCTCTCGCATCTCCCACTCCGGTTCCCAAGTTGCTTCCTCTACGCCATGATGTTGCCACAGGACTTTCACCAGTTGGATTACCTTGTTGCGAAGCACTTTCTCCTGGATATCAAGAATCTTCACCGACTGCTCTTCATAGGTGACTCCATCTTGCACTTCAATATCCTCCAAATCCACGACATGCGACGTATCTGGTTGACATTTCCTCAACATCGAAACGTGGAACACGTCATGAACTCCTGACAATGATACTGGTAGCCGAAGTTGGTATGCTACTTTGCCCACTGTCTTGATCACTTCAAATGGACCGATGTACCTTGGAGCGAGTTTTCCTTTCTTACCGAATCTAAGTACGCCCTTCTTGGGTGACACTTTAAGAAATACAAAAACTCCCTCCTTGAATTCCAAAGGCCTTCTTCTCCTATTCGCATAGCTCTTTTGTCGACTCTGTGCTCTGCGTAATCTCTCCCGAATGAGCTGAATCTTCTCCGTTGTCTCCCGTACAATCTCGGGCCCAAACATACTACTCTCTCCGGCTTCCAACCAACATGTCGGGGATCTACATGGTCTTCCATACAAAGCTTCATACGGCGTCATTCTGATACTCACTTGGTAACTGTTATTGTACGCAAATTCCACCAACGGTAAGTGATCGATCCAACTCCCTTTGAAGTCCAATGCGCAAGCCCGTAACATGTCTTCCAAAACCTGTATCACTCTCTCGGATTGGCCATCTGTTTGAGGGTGAAAGGTTGTGCTGAAATGTAATTCTGTCCCCATAGCTTGTTGTAGACTTTGCCAAAAACGAGCCACAAAACGAGAATCGCGATCCGACACGATAGAAAGTGGAACTCCATGCAATCGAACAATCTCTCGAATGTATAGTCTGCTCAAGATCTCTAACGAGTCTGTGGTCTTCATCCCCAAAAAGTGAGCTGACTTGGTGAGTCGATCTACGATAACCCATACGGCGTTATGCGCTCTTGAAGTCCGTGGAAAACCCGACACGAAGTCCATGGTGATATGATCCCACTTCCACTCCGGGATAGGCAGAGACTGTAATAATCCTCCAGGTCGTTGGTGCTCAATCTTCACTTGCTGACATACGGCACACCTTGAAATGAATTTTGCTACATCCTTCTTCATTTCACTCCACCAATATTGTCGTTTCATATCTCTATACATTTTTGTACTCCCCGGATGTATAGAGAACTTTGATCGGTGACACTCTCCCAACACTTCTTCCCTCACTTGGTCGTCGTTTGGCACGCATAATCTTCCCCAAAACTGTAACTCCTGATTCTTTAAAGACCAATCCTCAACAATCTCATTCCTCTCCAATTTATCCCGAATTTTTGTCAACTCGGGATCTAATCGTTGCAACTCCACAATCCTTATCAATCTTAAACACATCCAAAAAAAAAAAAAAATTAAGTTTGACCCAAAAGTCAATCCGTTCGAAACTCAAACTTCATGATTAATATTTCTACAATGATTCTAAGTTTTTATCCTCATTTTATTCATATTTGGAAAACTCTTAAGATATTAGTATTCTTATTTAATTTTTAGTATAAGGTCTTACAGTGATGTTGTAGAAAACAAATAATAATAAATAAATTAGAAATTGAGG